TGGCCCTATCGATAGTAAATTGTCCATTTCATATGATCACTCAAAGACAGATCTGAATTTTGTCTAGAAATGTCTTTAAAACATTAGAAATAAAACCATATAACCCGGCACCCATCGGATTTTAGCCCGATAATTCCGACAATCCCACCTTCGAGGGACGGAATTAGGGTTGGCTGTTTTTGTCGCGCTAACAATGAGGGGGCACGTGTGCTACGTTACCGACTAACCCCGGCTTCGACTCCTCTCCGGACTTCGTTTGACATCAGATTCAGACTTGTAATAGTTCAGAATTCGCTCACATAACCGTGGGAGCTCTCCAAAAAGGAATATTTGTGTAATATTTCTTGTTGGTTTCATTGGGGAGTTATATAGATCTGGTTGTTTCCTCTTTTTTCTTCGTTTTAATGCTGCTGATAATGTTATTAATGACTAAAACTCCCCACTGTTCCCACAGAACTGTTTATCTCGTGACAATGCCGGTATTTGAAATGCATCTTTATGGATTTTGTTTTATATGAAACTATGTTTTCTGTCTGCATGTTCTTCTTTGTCTTTGTACTCGAAATTCACCTATTGTGGAGGCGTTTTCCCCTATTCGAACTACTGCCTCTTCTCCTAATCATTTTTCCTTCGCAATTGAATGGACGGAGTCGATAGCATTTCCTCCTTTACTAACTCACTCCAAAAAAAAATTGTGGGGCCTGTCCAGCACACCGTCTGCCCCCAACGATCGTTGTTTTTTAAAGTGCTTTTACTTTTCTTTTTTTTTTGCTGTGCTTATTGCAGTCATTACCTTCTGAAACATCTTTCGACTTTCTTTGAAAGTTCACTTCGTTTGTGTTTTGAGTAAATTATTTTCTCAGTGTCATAACCTAATGCTTTATCTTTATATCAAACCTTAACTTACATAACGCTATAACATTCAATAAGATGATGCCACGCTTGCTGCGTCACCTCTTACCCTCAGCGCAGTGGAAAGTGATCAACGTGACCAGGCTAATGTCACATCGGCTCACAATACAACAGTTATGTCACCTTTGATCTCTGCGAAAAGGACACGGCATGAAAACGATTGGAAGGGTAACAAAAGGAAGAGGTTGAAAGAACTGGGGATGCCTCTACCCATGTCAAGGCACGAAGCGAGCAGGGTGTGAACTTGATGTCCTTTGTAGTTGTAAACTGGTTGGAACAAAATGCAATGACATCAATGGTCACTCTCTTGGAGAGAAAAGAGAGCCTACGTATATGCCACGATAAACATGATAGACAAAAAGAGATCTTACACAGCAAGTGAAAACCCAAGGAGAAATTACAGCCTTCAATACCACTTAAAAGAGTCAATGGTCAAAGAACACCTGTTTGTAAACAATCTTCATGAACACCGCAGGCCTGACCCACGGGTTTATTTAAAGTGTTTTCTCCGAAAAAACAAACAAACAAGAGCCCCCCCCCAGAACACATCACGCCCACCATGAGAGAGCCAAGAATGACAAGTTGTTCCATAAGGAGGAATTTTTTGACAAACTTTCGAAGATATCCTCCTGTCTCAGATGATAATCCAGAAAACGTCAGATCTGCATCAAGTATACATGGAGAACTTTGCAGAGAGGGTGAAAGCCACATTGAGCTATCATGTGTTCTGCCAAAAGTTCAAGAAAAACAATTTGGGTTTACTTTCAATCAAGAAAAAACAGTGCGACATTTGCACCAGCTTCGAATCTGGAAACCTCATATAAACAGAATACACCGCTCAAATATGAATATGAGGAAAGCTGCAGCTAGACCAGAGAAGGAGAAGGACAGGGAGGCTGCACTGAACCCAGAGAACAAAGTGTGTGTCCTTTGTATGGAGATCCAGTGCGTCCTTCTGGCCTCATCACTAAAGACTTCCACCTTATATTATAAAACATAACTGGTTGTACACAATTGTACCATTTAGGATCTTGCCACCAGAGACGCCAGATGATATGTCTGGTATAAAAGTGAAGTTGGTCTGAGCTTCAACAGTTTTCATCATGTCTGACTCACTAACTGATAATGCAAGTGACTGACTTCAACCACTTCATCATCTGCAGTGATTGGTGCAACAACTAAAACAGAAAGCCACCCTGGTGAGTGCAATGGCCTCGCTGGCCAAAGAGCTTGACATCACAGTTGAGCAGAAATGCTCCCCAAGGGCCATACCCAAATGGAAGTGGATTCACTCCATGGCACTATTGAGCGATCACTAAAAATACGCACTGATGTACATCCCAATGGACTACGTGAACATCATGCTCAAAGCCAGACGCATCCCCAGGCCCTATGAAGTTATGTACCTGGACCACAGCTTTTTCAAAGATTTCGCAAAGGTCGGAGAGCACTAAACAATCCGTCCAAGGAGAAAAGCAGGCGATCCTACTGTCACTGACTTGCAGGCGTCATGGAAAGTACACTCCAGTCTTTAAAATTCAGTACAAGCTGAACTTTGATGATGAGTGGAAGGCGCTGCAAGGACGGAGAAAGCTGAACATCCTGTGTATGACGGTTACTGGTGGACCTCTCTGCAAAGACAGATTGAAGATAACTGCCAACCAGTATAAACATCTACTGGAATTGAAGGCCGTCGTACCACGATGCTACCAGAATTACCGTGAAAATTTGCCTCAGTAAGAAGTTTTGAAAGCGATCAAGTCAAATTCGATTATTGTAGAGTCTTTCAAAACAATGGTAACTTCTATTGTATTGCCTTGTTGTATCCATAGGACACAGAGTGAGACAGACATGCTCTTCTATTGTTGAGAAAACTCAATAAAGTAGTTGTTGTCAAGTCACGCACCTTCGAGAAAGTTAGTGCATTCTTTGATACTTACAAAGTCTTTTTGTATAATAATGATAAATATTATTATGTAGCCAACTTCTTCCAAACCATTGGTGAGGTAGTAGAGCTTTTGTGTGGTTTTCTGCTTTCATTTCTTTCTTAATATTACTTTTTTCCAGGCCTTTGAATGGCCACCCAGTCCCAATAGTACCGTGTCAGACACGGTCATAAATTCTAAAGGCCTGCTGCTGCTGCTGCTGCTGCTGCTACTACTACTATAACTGTTGTTTTTGTTGTTGTTGTAGTTGTTGTTTTTGTAGTTGTTGCTGTAGCTGCTCTCCCTTACCCTTCCAACCTCCTCTTCTTCTACTTTAAATGTAATTAATATACCCATTGCTGTGTTCTGCTTCTTCTAGTTCTATTAAATGTTCAACTTTGCGACTGCTGTTTCTGCTCGAATTGACTTAGTAGCACTGAAATGGCAGCAGCTGATAGTATGTTGGTAGCAATAATATAGTCCTCCTCCTCTTCCTTCTTCTTCTTCTTACTCCTCCTCCTCCTTTTTTCTCCTTATCCTCCTCCTTCTCACCCTTTCCTCCTCCTCTTCCTCCTCCTCCTCTTCCTCCTCCTCTTCCTCCTCCTCTTCCTCCTCCTCTTCCTCCTCCTCCTCCTCCTCCTCCTCCTACTCCCCCTCCTCCTCCTCCTCCTCCTCCTCCTCCTCCTTCTCCATCTTCTTCTTCTTCTTCCTCTTCTTCTTCTTCTTCTTCTTCTTCTTCTTCTTCTTCTTCTTCTACAAAAGATCTCGACGATTGATACAACTGATCAAATACGTTACCGTCAAGTGTGGCTTGGCTGCACTCAACCAAACTCAAGGGCAGTAGTGGCTTCCTGATAAAACCGGTCAACCAACAAAATTGAGGGTTGGTCGGTTTTATCCAGGAAAATTTGAGCGACACAACGGTCTAACCCACGCAGTTTCATTAAAAGCAATTTATAAAGGAAAAAAAGGTCTACAGTTTATTGGTAAAGTGTTTTTATAGGTGTTTAAAGCATTGATTTATCGTTAGGTGCCTTTGTTTTGAAATAAAACAGTTTTTTCCTTCTCCTGTAAAATTTACCTCGCTGGGGTTAGTCGGTTTAACACAAGGCCGACGAAATTTTGTCTGCGGTAGCGTATCACAAACCTCTTGCAACATCACTGTATCTTTGGGAAAACGGAAAAAAGGAAAAGTCCTACCTATTACATTTTCTGTTAAGACAGTTCATTGCAGAGCACCGCTGGCTACTCTGTCGTCCAGAAGATCTACTACTACCGTTTCGTAGGCGACTAGATATCTAGATCTACATCATGTCACTGAGCATGTTCATCTCACTGCCGCTTTCCATTCATGAAAATCGTAATTCTTAACTCACTATATTCAAAATGTGAACAAAAATCAATTAAAATAATTGGGGGACAGAAGAGGTAGAGAGAAAAAATAAAAGAGATAGAGAAATAGTAACGGCAGAGGGAAGGGAGTGGATAGACAGGGAGAGGGAGAGAGACTATTCCTTCGTCGTGATGCATGACTGATTTGTCAGTCATTTTCTCAGCAAAAACCATTATCGTTGACCCCACGTCGGCATCTCTCTCTCTCTCTCTCTC